CCCACCTTGTCTCTGGTAATTAACATAGGCAAAGCCACTGAAGTATAAATGTCGACATTAGGGTAGCTGTCAAGCAGGAAAAATAGAAGGAGCCCTTGATGATGGCTGTGAATATGTCCAGAAACAATATCGCAGAATAGCAGTAGGTTGAGAACACCAGGAAAGCACGTGTCCAGGCTAGCCTGTTTTGAATAAAGGCTTTGGAATCAATCTTCAGTCTGAAGACCAGAAGAAATCACAGTCTCTCTCCTTAATTGCAGTTATGGAAAATGCAGGAAAACATTTCAACCTAAAATGCTAATGTTCTTTCAGCCATGACTGTGTCTGTGCACACTAATCACTTTCAGCAGTTGCAAATATGAGGATGGAAGTTTTCCACCCAGCACTGATAAAATCCAAATTGACAATCTGTTTAAAAATGGTTATTTGGACCAGATTCAGTGCCTATTCAAAGAAATGGGTGAGGAGGATGAGAGTTACACATAAAATAATGATTGCATGGCCTTTAAAGATATTATGTATAATGCATTCCAAAGCAGAAATGTAAAAGATGACAAAATCCATTATTCATTGTTTTTTCATATTCATACAGATAGGACTATAATGAAAATTGGTCTTCTGCCATGCATAACTGTGAGTCCTACAGTAATAAAACAAATGTTTTCTAGGACCAGGTGATTTATATGCAAAAAACATCTTTACAAAGCAAATTTTGTCTAAAAAACAAGGCTCTTATTTTTAAAGGAGCCATGCTGTATTGCCAAGGCTATTGGGTTGTTTATTGATGTTTATATCAGATAGATCTCAGGAAACTTAATTTTAAATTGTACTAATCCTCAATAAGTGTTTTAATTTATATTTATTCATGTTAAATAGAGGAAAAACCCTTGTTCTCTTTCAGTGAGCCAAGAACAATCATTCAGAGCTGAACAATAGAAAACATGGAAAGTATTGTTCTTTTCAGGTATTCAGCTGGTTAAACTTTGAAATCTGAGTATTAAGCATAGCAAATATAAACTCATTGAATTTCTGAATTAAGCAGTGAGTATTTTCATTTGATTATGTTTAGGAAACAGTTTAAAATATTAGTTGATAGGTAACTATTTTAATGGATCCATTGTTTTGAAGTAGTTATGATCTGGTAGAACACTATACTCCACACAGTGGAATCTAATAAGGAATAGCTTGGAGAGAACAGTTTTTATCTTGCAGTGGAAAACATTATCAGTGCAATTTTTATTGTATGTCTAAGGCATTTTGGTATTGTCTAACTTTAATGATTTAAGAAAACCGTAGGTACTAACTGCAAAGACATCAGAATTCCAGAAGTGGGTAAAAATGGTAAGTTGCACCTGAACATAATCACTTATTAAACTCGGAGTATGTTTAATAAGTGAGCTGAGAATTAGCTTTAAGTGTGAATCTAGAGGAAGGAATACAGTGGTAGGCTCCTAGGCCAGAGTTGTCAATGCTTAGTTATGCCATGGGCAGTTAGAATTAACTGATGGAAGACACATGATTCTTCTGACAGCGGTATCTATCATCAGTGTGTCGTGCTGTTTGGAGAGTAGGTTAATTGAAAATAAGAGAAATCGTTGCACTTCATTTCTTAAATTATCTGACCTCATTTAGGAAACTAATATACCATTTATCCTAGTAATAAATCAATATGCATGGTTGTCCATAAATGTGAGGCACTTTCCAAGGGAGAAAATAACCTCTGGACATGTTCATTAACCGTAGACAGAATCATTTAAGCAATTAAAGTTGTTGAAGTTGACTTTTCAAACCCCAACCTGTAGTGACACCAGCAGCTACTCGGCTGCTGAATAAAAAGGGTGCATGCATGGGCTCTCACACTCTCTCCCTGCCACATATACACAAATATGAAATTAGTAGATTAAAGACTTCAATTATTATTTAATCACCATAGCCGTGAAGCCAAGAATTATAGAATTGACAACATAAAAATAACCTGATCCAGTCTCTTAATTGTATAGATAGCTGGACACCTGTAATGCCAGCACTTTGGGAGGCTGAGGCACGTGGTCCCTTGAAGTCAGACATTCGAGACCAGCCTGGTCAACCTGGTGAAACCGCATCTCTACTAAAAATACAAAAATTAGCTAGGCCTGGTGGCACACACCTGTAATCCCAGTTACTTGGGTGGCTGAGGCATGAGAATTGCTTGAATTCAGGAGGTGAAGCTTGCAGTGAACTGAGATCATGCCATTGTACTCCAGCCTAGACAACAGAGTGAGATTCTGTCTCAAAAAAAATGATAAAATTAATATGAGTTAGATTACCAATTGCCTCTTAAGAAATAGGTGCTCCATAGTTGTTTATTGAGCATAATTGTTCAAGACATCTACATGCTTCAGGAGTCTGGTTCTGTCAAAACCCTGGTTTTAACTTTCTTGCACTTCTGTTTAAAATAGAAATTGCCTTAACCACAGACAAACCAAACAAAAAATAATCATGTAACTGAACTGAATTGGAGAATAGAAATTAGAGACAGAAGCCTCTCTGCGTTGTAGGAAAGATGGATAGGTAAGTGGGAGCCCAGGATGGGTAAATGGGGATGCAGGAGAAAGTGGCTCTGTCTCCCAGTGAATCAGGAACTACCACAGAAGCTGTGAGAGCTAAAGGGTTACAGAGGAAAAGTACCAAGCAGATCAGAGAAAGAGACACCTCTAGGGCCTCTTCCTTCCCCTTGGGTAGAAGATTAAGTCACATTTGCAAGGAACTGAGAAGTCTACCTGATCTAGTTGCTGTTGCCATTGTAAACCAGAATAAAGCCCAAGTAGCTTGGCTGAGCATCCACCAACCTTAGCACTGTCGCCCACACTGATTCTCAGAGCAAGCAAGAATAGTCCCAAAGGAATGTCATAGGAAGGAGTTTATGAAGACATCTGTAAGAATAAAAACCTAGTCCTGTTTCATTTTCGTGACTAGGATTCATATTAGAGAGTACTTATAAGTACCTACTCTAGTGTAAGAGGTAAAATTAAGTCCTTACAAACCCAGAAATAATTTTATTCTTCACGCTTAATCTCCCAATTTATATCTCAGTACAAATGTTACATAGAACAGTTACATATCAGGGACTAAATAGTAGAGTGATTACTTTCTGTTCAATATAGTTAAAATCTCTCTTTTTTAAATAGTGGTAATAGATAAAAAGAAGCTACTAATTTTTTTTTTTTTTTTTTGAGACGGAGTCTCACCCTGTCACCCAGGCTGGAATGCAGTGGCACAATCTTGGCTTATGGCAATCTCTGTATCCCGGGTTCGAGTGATTCTCCTGCCTCAGCCTCCTGAACAGCTGGGACTACAGGCATGCACCACCACACTGAGCCAATTTTTTTATTTTTAGTAGAGATGGGGTTTCACCACATTGGCCAGGCTGGTCTTGAACTCCTGACCTCATGATTCACCCACCTCAGCCCCCCAAAGTGCTAATTTTTAAAATCTGTAATGCTGTTCTGGCTTCTATACGTCTCTCCCTCTTACCTGACTCCAGCCACTCACACCTCCTCGCTATTCCGTGAACACATCAGGTTGGAAAGAGCATGATGGATAACGCCTTTGCCTTGCTTGTTTTCTCTGGCTTGAATATTTTCTCCCCATCTATCTTTAAGACTAGCTTCCTCGTCACCTTTAAGACACCTTGTTAGGGAGGCCTGCCCTGGCCTGGCCTGTCTGTGTACTATGATAATCTATCTCCCCCAGCAACCAGGACTCCTCACCCTTCTTATCATGATGGCTTCTTTTTCTCCTATAGCACATTTTTACCTTCTACTCTAAGAGATTATTTACTTAGATTTTTTTGTCTATTCTCCCCCACTAGAATATACAATGTCCGTAAGAGCAAAAATATTTGTTTAGATTGCTTACTTATCCTCAAAGCTTAAAACTATCTGGAGCATAGTAAATGCTCAATCACTATTTTTAATGAATAAATGACCATATGAATATTGACTTTTCGAGATAAAAATTTAGGTTTACTCCCCCAGATTTAACGTACATGCTATGCTTTTTCATATTCAGGATCTGTTCATATGTCAGTTTTTAGATATGCTCTTTGTTTTCATGCTCTGTCTCCCCTAGAGAGAGTGATTCAAATAAATCTAGGGGAGAATAAATCTAGATGAATGGTCTATGAGGAATAGTCCTCTTCCTCCAGAGGCTTCAAATAGAGCAACATTAGGGTCGGTCTTGGCATTTAAGTCCCAAAGAAATTCAGGCTTATGTTGAGAGAGATACACAGATAAAAGTACGAGTAAAAGAGAGACTATATTTCTAAGCAACAGAAATCCCATATCACAACAAACCATGTCCAGATGGTCAGGAAATAATATTAGAAAAAAACAATCTTTTCACTGAGGCCAAGATGAGGGTCCTTCATAGATGCCACACTCTGGTCAAAGACACAACCGATACCTTCCAAAGCTTCAGCCATTAGTAGTCAGAGAAGTGGTCCCGTTTAACCTGCATGTTGCCCCAAAGATTGTCCTAAAGTTCAAATCCAAGTAGTGCCCTTCTTTGCTTGAAATCCTGTAGTGATTTCTCCCATAGCTTCAAATTCTTTGGCTTGGTACAAAATACTCTTTATGATATGGTCTCTGTCCTGGCATTGATCGCATTCTTGGTAATCACTGATGTCCTCCTATCTCCTGGGTCCCTGAAGAAGTACTTTGCCCCTTTTGCCATGATGACACAGCTAGAAGGCACCACCTATTAACCAGGTAATGGGCCCTCACCAGATACCAAATCTGGCAGAGCCTTGATCTTGAACTTCCCAGCTTCCACTGATCTCCTGTGTGTCTCTTGCAACACATAATGGACTTCCAGAGGATACGGGTTATACCTTATTCATACCTTATTCATCCTCAGGGCTAGGCTTATGGAGGTTCTCAGTACTGTTTCAGTGGAAAATGGCTAAATGGAAATGTGATGTTGCTATACTCTAATATGGCTGTGTTTTTTCTTTCCTCAAGGACTTCGGCATTATGTTCCTGCACCACCTTGTATCTATTTTCTTGATTACCTTTTCATATGTCAACAATATGGCCCGAGTAGGAACCCTGGTCCTTTGTCTTCATGATTCGGCGGACGCTCTTCTGGAGGTAAAAGTTTTCTTTCATCTTTAAAAATACAAAATCCAAAATTTAGGAAGTCCCCAATCTCACTACCTCTTTAATGTTATGCTAGTTGGTGCTTGTGTACAATAGTAAATAACTGCATTGAAACTGCAGAGTGTTTTTTTGTAGGTTAAACTGGTGAAAATGAGATTTTAAATTAGTATGTAAACTTTTATACAAAAAAATTAACATTGTTAATAGAATGATGAAAACCCTTACTATTCTACACTTTAAAAATGAGTAATTTTACAAAGGAAAATTATTATTTGATTAGGTTTTGTGTGTTGTAACCTTTACCCTAATTTATTGGGAAATTTTGTAAAACTCAGTTTAGTTACTAATAGGAGCTATATATCCCAATAAAATTAAGTAGGGGTCATCATTTTTATTGCTAATACACATTGTCCTTATGTTTTTACAGTGAAAAGGGAATATGAATTGCAAATTTTATGTAGAAACTATGTTTATATATATGTATAAAGAATATCTCTGGAACTATTGGTTATACTTGAATTAACTTTCTGAATTATTATTATTTAGAATTCTTAAAGTGGTAAAATAAATAAAAAATGTTCTAGCATATTTCAAAAGGTAAAATCCCAAGGAAAATTGTGATGCGATATTTACTTTTAACTATGGCTCCTGTGAAGATCATACTCAGTAATGTTATATAATTAAAGTCTTTGCATTTTATATTAAGAAATTAATATAACTGGTCAGAATTACCTTACAAGAGTACAAAGCCCATATAGAAATGGCTCTCACAATCGATCTGAATTCTGATTTTTTTTTCTTTTGGCCCACCATTTTGCTTTAAGTCCTTTGTTTTGCTACCTTTGAAGCATTTACTGTTCTGTGAATATAGACTAGACATGTCCTCAAATAATGACCTGTTATTGCAATATAAGCAGAATTCTATGCTATGAAATTTGAACCTACTATAAAGGCAATTAAGGTTTGAGGCATGTACATAACTTTGTTAAAAACTCTGGTCCTTTAATGTTATGAAACAGAAAAATAGACCCAAAGGGCTAGGTAAGTCAAATGATAATTTGTTGCTATGATTTTTAAATGTTTCAAGCTAACCTCTATTCAACATATTTTTTTAAATAGGAGAAATATAATTAGTAAAAGGGGGATCCCCTGGAAATGAGTTACCATTTGGTTAAATCTTAAGTGTGTTTGGATATAGAAATTCATGCACAACCTAAGGCTTGAAATCCTGTACAATTAGCCAGCCTTGTTGCCTGTGGAAATGGCTGGCATGATACTTTTTAGTGCCATGATTGAGAAAATTTCTAATCAAGTTCCACCTGTATCCAGAAAAAAATTCAGAAATCCCAGTCATGTGACTTAAAAACACATCACCTAGATTCTCTTTAACATTATAAAATAACTAACACTTAGAATATTCAATTAGTGAGATAGGTTACCTATCAACCCCTCAACATGTTATGTTACAGCCTAGACATTTCTGAAAAGTTTGTGTTTAAAGCTCATTTATTGAATACTGATGAAAAAATATAAAAAGAGAAATACCATGATTTACCTAGCCAGAAGAAGGTACCTTTTAACATAATTTATGGTGCTACACCTTAAATGTTCATGAGATTAAAAGCTTATGATCCTAACTTCCACCCAGTTAGTAGATATTTCCCCTTAGGAATACATTCCTCTCATAGCTTTGTGCTTTACTTAAAGCTTTTAAATTATAGCTTCTGTGGATAATGTCAACAATCTTTTCAAACCTGACTCAGTTAAGTTTCTAAGAAGTAGAAAATCACGTTATAAATTGAGAAGACATCATCAATTTATAACCCTGTGTGTAGGTGCTGTGAATTCTATGCAAAGATGTAAAAAACGGTGATTAGGCAAAATTATGTTTTCAATCTCACCTATTTTTAGAATGATCTGTAAAAAAGTGGATGGTAGAGAAAGGGATATGATTTATTCCCTAGACTAATGTATAATATAAGATGTCATCACTTAAGTCACTGTCATAAATTATTAGAGTACTTTTTCACAAACGCTTTGAACATTAGTGACCCCACATGTAAAAATGACCCATTCATGTAACTTTGAAAATTCTACCTAAGTGGATTAGTTGAAGTAACATGATCTTGATGCTTTCTTCATTTCTAAGTTCATGAGAAAAAGCCAGAAAAGCATATTCCCACAGTACTTCGTATGCCTGTTTAAAGAAAACCTACAATTTTAAGGAGAGAGGAAGACAAACACAGAAGAGCTCCATATATTCTGTATAAAGTTTGTGGTCTCAGTATTTGAGGTTCATAAAAAGGTTTAAAGGATTACCCAGCACTTCCGTTTGAACTGTTATGCCAGATTTCTGTTTTGGTGTCTCTGGCTTGCTCATAGCATATATGATGCAATAATTTCTTATTTTTCCCTCTGTTTTTCTGAAATCAACCATCCAATTGAATTTTTCAGGTTGCTGAATATTTTATTAAATCTGTAACAGTCAGGAATTCTACTTATAGTTAATGCTGCCTTTCACTCAACTTATGGGTAATTTATAAATACTGATGCATGATGCATGACATTTCATTCACAGGTAATTTTATGCATTTGGTAAGGTACATCTTATAGGAAAGTCATGCATATTAAAAGAAATTTTATTATCAGTTTAACTACATTAATATGTCACATTCCTTTCTTTCATAGGCTGCCAAAATGGCAAATTATGCCAAGTTTCAGAAAATGTGTGATCTCCTGTTTCTTATGTTTGCCATGGTTTTTATCACCACACGACTGGGTATATTTCCTCTCTGGTGAGTATGCCAGTCTTCTTCCTGATAGAACTGCCCCTTCCAAATAAGCTTTATGAACCATTTTCCTTTTGAATTTTACCATAAGTACTTAGAAGTTTAAATAATTGGGCAGGGGAGTACCTCAAGAAACAGCTTGATTTCTTCTTCCAGCAGAGGGTTACACTCTTTACTAATGTTTTCTACGGGATAGTTAGAAAATGATGTGGCTTGCAGGGGTTCTGAGGCCACAGAAAGCCAACTGTCATAGAAGGCACCAGTCTAGAATATGACTCAAGAACCTCAGCCATGAAAGTTGGAATTAAGAAAGAAACCATGGTGTTGCAAACAAGTAGGTGAAGGAATTTTCTGTACCAGTGCTTCACAAAGGGTTGTCCCTGGACCACCAGCAGCAGCATCACCTGAGAACCTGTTGGAAATGCACATTATTGGCCCCACCCAAGACTCTCTGAGTGAGTAACTCTGGAGATGAGTCCTGGCAATGTGTTAATAAGCTTTCCTGATGATTCTGCTGCATCTTAAAGTTGAAAACCATTGTCCTAAATAAGTCTTCTCATTAGCTATACACCATTCTAACCAAATAGTCTTTGAATTATATCCAAAGTCTCGTCCAGCTTTGTGTTACTTGGCAAATATACCTTTCATGCTTCTTCCAACTTACTGAAGAAAAATGGTGACCAAGAGGGATTCCTGTTCCATGTTGACCAAGAGGGATTCCTGATCCCCCCCTGAAGAATTTCTTTAGGTGGACTTCAGTCCCCCAAACACCAGTCTTTCTGTATGATTTTTCTACTTGTGACTATGCCTTCTAACTGTTAGATCATCATGCCTGCTATTTCCCTACCTTGTTTGAGGTATAAAAGACCTCTGTCAAATGTCTTAAGGAATTCAGGATTTATTTTGTTGTCTGAGTCACTCCCTGCACAGATAGAGGAAGGATCAGAAAAAGAATGTGAAGTCAGGTTTTAGAAAACCTTTGCTGACTCCTGGGTCTTCATTCTAAGTACTTGCCCCCATCTGTGTGATTAGCCATCTACAACGGTAAGCTTACCAGCCTAGAATATCCATTCTTTGCCTTCTCTATATTGTTTAGGTGTGGACTTTAAAATTCCAATTAACTACCATTTTTTGTATGTATTTAGTGAAAATTTACTGGGCATTTATTGCATCACCATTACTGGGATGGTACTGGTAATGCTGATAATTCAGTTGGACATAGGGCTGCCCTTGGGGCACTTGCAGTTGAATTCCTACAGGTCCTTCTAATATTCTGGTTTATAATTTGGGGTATGGGATGGGGAAGGCCGGAGATTATAATTTTTTTCCAAACATTTACTGGACATAGGTAATGTAGATGGATTATCAATATTTATAGTTTTGTTGGATTTGCTGAGGAGCTCTGTTGGCTAATTTATTCATTATAGCAAATAGATTTTGCATGTGAAATAGTGACTCACCTGTGTAGGGTAAGGTAATGGAGGTAGATTAGACATTAGTTTTAAGAAACATTTCATAGACCTATTTCTTTTTCAAAGACTGTGCTTGAGGTAGAAGAAGAAACAAAATTATTTCCCCTCCCCTACATTCCTTTTTGTTTTTAACCCATTGCTGTGGATTCACCAACAATACCTTCCAGATTCCTCTTGCCTATATTTGAGTTCCTCATGAGTCAGAATATTGGTAATTGATGAGTTTAGTAACTCTTTGGCTTATTCTCTATTATGTCGGCAACCCATGCTCTTCAAAGACAGCATACACCGTGATTAGCCTTTTAGAACCATGCACTGCTCCTCCAGACTTCTCTTTCAATCATAATACATCCTTCTAGAACAACCTTGTCCAACAGAAATATAATGCAGGCTTTATAGTAATTTAATATTTTCTAGTAGCCACACTAAAAGTTTTTTTTTTTTTAAGATGAAAGGTGATATCCATTTAAATAACATATTTAACTTAGTATCTTCTAAATAGTATTTTTTTTTTAAGACAGAGTCTCACTCTGTCACCCAGGCTGGAGTGCAGTGGCACAATCTCGGCCCACTGCAGTCTCTGCCTCCCAGGTTCGAGTGATTCTCTTGCCTCAGCCTCCCAAGTATCTGGGACTACAAGCACGCACCACTACACTAAGTCTAATTTTTGTACTTTTTTTTTTTTTTTAGTAGAGACGGGGTTTCACCATGTTGGCTAGAGTGGTCTCAAACTCCTGACCTTGTGATCCACCAACCTTGGCCTCCCAAAGTGCTGGGATTACAGGGATGAGCTGCTGTGCCTGGCCCAAAATACTATTTTAACGTTATCAACACATTAATATTAAAATGTTTTGGGTATCTACATTGTTTTAATGTATATTAAATCTTTGAAATCCGATGTGTATTTCACATTACCACACATCTAGATTTAGTTTAGCTACGTTTCAAGTGCTCAGTAGCTCATGTGGCTAGCATATTGGACAGTATAGTTCCAGAAAAGAACAACTATCACAGTCTTTGACAGTGACCAGATTATACAGGTTTTTCTGGTGTCAGAGTATCTTGGTTGACATTCTTAAGTCTGTTGTTTGCTACGATCGTTCGAGTCAGGATAGCATAGCGGTTAGCTGGGACAGTTGGACTAGAGTGCATGGGTTCAAATCCTGCCTCACTGCTAAACACCTTTGTGCTGAAGTTTCCTCATCTCTTAAATAGGAATAATGATGATACCCACTCATAGCATTATTGTAACTATTAAATGAGTTTGTGTCTCTATTGAGCTAAAAACATGCCAGCCTCATAGTAATTGCTATGTAAGTATTGGCTTGTTAAGTGAGGTTATTTATTTAATATGAAAAGAGACACCTCTTAGGAAATGAGTAAGAAAAAAAGACTCAATAGAAGTATTTGGCATGGCTCTGAATAGGTACAGTTCAGAAAAATATAAATGACAAAATTATAGAATGATTTAACTCTACCATAAATAAAGAAAATAAATTGTAGCTTCTGAAAATACAGTCATGTACTATATAGCTAGACTTCCTGGCCAGTGATGGACCACATATATAACAGCAGTCCTACAAGATTATAATGGACCTAAATAATTTCTATGACAACATCATAGCACAATGCATTCATTACTGATGTATTTATGTTGATGTTGCTGTACACAAACCTATTGCACTGCCAGTCACTCCTCATTCTTCCCTCCTCCCATCCCCTGGCCACCATTAACCTGCTTTCTGTCTCTGTGAACTTACCTATTGTGGTCATTTTATGTAAATGGTTTCATGCAATAGGTGATCTTTTATAACTGAGTTCTTTCAGTTTCCTGATGTTTTCAAGGTTTATCCATGTTGTAGCATGTATCAGTACTTAATTCCTTCTTATTGATGATTAATATTTTATTGTATGGATATACCACATTTTATCCATTCATCAGGTGACAGACTTTAGGACTGTTTCCACTGTTTGGCTGTTGTGAATAATGCTGCTATTAATGTTTGCATACAGGCTGTTGTGTGAACACACATTTTCAGTCTTCATAGGCATATGCTTAGGAATGGAATTGCTGGATTATATGGTAACTCTCTAACTTCTTGAAGAACTACCAGATATCTTCTTTCTTTCTTTCCTTTCTTCCTTTCTTTCCTTTCTTTCTTTCTTTCCTTCTTTCCTTCCTTTCTTTTTTGACAGGGTCTTGCTCTGTTGGCCAGGCTGGGCTGCAGTGGTGCCATCATAGCTTATTGCAGCCTCGAACTCCTGGGCTCAAGTGGTTCTCCTGCCCCAGCCTCTCGCGTAGCTAGGACTCCAGGTGCATGCTGCAACACCCAGCCGATTTATTTATTTATTTGTAGAGATAGGGTCTCACTATGTTGCCTAGGCTAGTCTTGAACTCCTGGCCTCAAGAGATCCTCCAGCCTAGGCTTCCCAAAGTGCAGGTGTTACAGCCACTGCACCCAGCCCATCAAACTCTTTTACAAAGTTGCAGCACCATTTAACATCTGACCAGCAATATATGAGAGTTTTGCTTTCTCCACTTCCTTGCCAATGCTTTTTATTATCTTTTATATTGTATTCATTTTAGTGGGTATTAAGTAGTATTTATGGTAGTTTTGATTTGCATTTCAAATCCTTTACCCATTTGTAATGTATTTTTTATCATTGTAAAAATTTGTTACGTATGATTATATATCTGAATGATGAATATAGTAATATATTTGTATAAACAACGTATCTGATACATAATTTGCAAATAATTTCTCCCTTACTGAGGGTTGTCTTTTCACTTCCTTGATGATATCCTTTGAAGCACAAAAGCTTTCAGATTTGATAAAGTTTGTCTGTTTTTTCTTTTGTCACTTGTATTTTTGATGTCATAAGAAACCATTGTCAAATCCAAGATCATGAAGATTTACTCCTATTTTTTTTCCTAAGAGTTTTCTAGTTATAACTCTTCCATTTAGGCCTATGCTCTGTTAAGGGGTGATTTTTGTTTATGGTGGGAGGTAGGTATCCAAGTTCATTCTTGCATGTGTGGATATTCAGTCATCCCCACACCATTTCTTGATTGACGATTGCTGTTATGATGATCATCTTCAGCACACAACTCCCAGTGAAGCGAACTTGTGTTTGTCGCCATCCTCATTTACTGCCCTTTACTGGCTTTAATTCATTTCCACCTTTTGGAATCACACTATATTTTATCTGTGGCCTGTTTGCTAGGTTGACTCATTTGTCCTGCCTGGGAATTCTTCACCCTATCTAATATGCTAGGTTGACTCATTTGTCCTGCCTGGGAATTCTTCACCCTATCTAATAAGCCAGGAGGTGAGACACGTTTGCACAACCCTTTCCTCTTCTCTCCAAGCTGGGATGCTATCCAAGGGAGTGTTAATTACCTCTGTCCAGAGGACATCTGGGATGCAGCCCTCCCACACACAGGTCACCAAAACTGATCTCTCCACTGTTCCTTCCTGATGGTATCACTGTCCTCTGTGGCTTCCCTGTGTAGATAGTCCAGCCATTGCCTGG